AAACCAAGAGCAAATATTTTCTGTAATGGGGATAAACTAGAAGCCTTCCTAATAAGATCAGGGGTGAAGCAAGGATGTCCATTTATCATCATTATTATTCAATACTGTGCCAGAAATGCTAACTATAGCAATAAGACAAAAAAAAAATAAATTGAAGGAATAAATGGAGGTAGTGAGAAAACAAAACTGTATCATTTTCTGAATATGATATGACAGTTTACTTCAGAGAATCCTAGAGAGTCAACTTTAAAAACTAGTTGAAACTATTAATAACTTTAGCAAAATTACAGGATACAAAATAAATCCACACAAATTATCAGCATTTCTATCTATATTTTACCGACAACAAAACACAGCAGAAAGAAATAGAAAGAGAAATTGCATTTAAAATAAATGCAGACGGTATAAAATATTTGAGAGTCTACCTGCCAAGACACATGGGAACTATGTGAACACAATTATAAAACAGTTAACACAAATAAAGACAGATCTAAATAAATGAAGAAATATTAATCGCCCACAAATAGTTCAAACCAATATAATAGAAAGAACAATGACACCTAAATTCATCTACTTATTCAGTACCATATCTAATCAAACCACCAAAGTATTACTTTATAGAGCTAGAAAAAATAATAACAAAATTTATCTAGAGGAACAAAAGGTCAAGAATATCAAGGGAATCAATGAAAAAAAAATGCAAAGGAAGGGGCCTAGCAGTACCAGATCTTAAACTGTACTACAGAGTGGTAATCATCTAAAAAATTTTATATTGGATAAAAAATAGAGTGATTGATCAATGGATCAGATTAGATACACCACATACTGAAGGAAATGAGCACAGTAATCTAGTGTTTAATAAACCAAAGATCCAAGTTTTTAGGGCAACAACTCAAGATTTGAGAAAAACTGCTTATAAAACTGGAAAGAAGTTTAAAAAAAACTGAAAAGAAGTCTGGTAGAAACCAGGCATACAGCAACATCTCATGTTGTGATACCTAATATATAATACCAAAATAAGTTCAAAATGGGTACATGATTTAGCTATAAAAGGTAATATCATAAGCAAATTAGGGGAGCACAGAAGAGATTACCTGTCAGATCTACAGAAATGGGAAAAATTCATGACCAAACAAGAGCTATCGAGGTCCATGGGAGAACAAAATGGATAATTACATAAAATTTTAAAGTTTTTGCACAAACAAGACCAACCCAGGCAAAATTATAATAAGTAAAGCAGGAAACTGGGGGGAAATTTTGTAGCAAGTTTCTCTGATAAGGTCTGATTTCTTAAATATGTAGAGAACTGAGCCAAATTTATAGAAATAAGAGCCATTCTCCAATTACTGACTGGTCAAAGGATATAAACAGGCAGTTTTCAGAGGAAGAAATCAAAGAAATCAAAGCTTTCAATAGTCATAATTAAAAATGCTCTAAATCTCTAATTAGAAGAATACAAATTAAAAAAAACCTCTGACCTGCCCACCTCACACCCATCAGATTGGCTAAGATCACAGAAAAGGAAATGACAAATGCTAGATGTGAGGGGGGAAAGGTACACTAATGCATTGTTGATGGAGCTATGAAGCAGTCCAACAATTCTGGAGAATAATTTGGAACTATGTCCTAAGGACTGTAAAACTGCATACCCATTGACCCAGCAATACTACTACTAGGTCTATACCCCAAGGAGATCAAAGAAAAAGGAAAGGAACCCCTATGTACAAAAATATTCATAGCAACTTTTTTTATAGAGTAAAAAAAATTGGTAACTGAAGGGATCCACATTAATTGGGGAATGACTGAACCCACCATGATATAGGAATGTAATGGAATATTACTGTTCTGTAAGAAATGATGAAGGAGATGGTTTCAAAATACCTTTGGAAGATATATATGAACTGATGCAAAAAAAATGAGGACTAGAACAACGAACATAATAACAGCAACATTATAAAAATTGTGACTTAGTAACTGTGATCAATACAATGAGCCATCAGAATGCCAAAGGACTCATGATGAAAAATGTTATGCACCACCAGCTAGAGAACTGATGGACTCAGAATTCAGATTAACACATGTTTTTTTGTTTTTGTTTTTTACACAGAACAGGGCTAATGTAGAAATGTTTTGTATGACTTCATATATATGATAGGTATCATATTTCTTAGTATCTCAATGGAGGTAGGGGGTAGAGGGAGGTAGAGAATTTGTAACTGAATAAAATAAAATAATACATACATGTGTGAAGCTTTTATTACTTATAGAAGGTATATCTCTGAGTCACTTGATGAACTAGCTATTGCTGTTTTATAGCTTTCAGAGTCTGGCTGAAATAATGAAAGCCTCAATCTCAGGTTCCACGTCCAGCCTGTTTCTGATTTTATATTTTAGCAACATGTGCAGAAAATCCATTCTCACAAACACATGATGTGGGAAAAAGCATCATGTACTTCCCAGATTTATCAGATTACTCACTTCCAGGAAGTGAATTTGAGCAAAAGAAAAGGTTTCAAAAGGCCAGAAAAAAGTTTCCCTTCCCCACCCCCCAATCAAGTACAAATGAAATCACTGAGAATAAATCTGCTGAGCCAAAAATAGCTGACATATATACCACCTTAAGGTTTACAAAGCATTATTACAGAAATTATCTTATCTAAGCCTTAAAAACAGCCCTGTATGGTGGGTACTGCAGATCTTATAATCTGTTTTACACACAAAGAAACTAAGGCATAGAGAAATGAAGTAATTTTCCCATGATCAACCAGTGTCCCTCCAAGTCTAGCCCTCCTCTCCATGATACTAATCTACCACATAGGGTGGGTGGCATAAATGTCAGCTATTTTTGGCTCAGTGAATTTATATTCTCAGTGATTCATTTGTGCCTGATAGGAAAAAGAAAAAAAAACAAAACCAAAAACGTTGTTTTTGAATAGAAAAAAAAAATCAAATGACTCAATCAATATTACCTCCTATAGACAATGACTTACACATGTATGTATTACTAATTTAATTTTCAGTTACTAATTCTCTCCCTCTACCCATTGAGACAGTAAGAAATGCGATATTCTCAGTGATTCATTTGTGCCCCATAGGCCTTTTGGAACCCTTTCTTTTGCCCAGATTCACTTCCCGGAAGTGAGTAATCTGATAAATCTGGGAAGCACCTGATGCCATTTCCCATATAATGTGCTTTGAACACTAAATGGGATTTTATCATTTAGTCCTGTGGGTGACAGAGAACCACTGGAATTAACCCAGGGGTTCTTTACCTTTTTTGTGTCTTGCACACCTTTGGCAGTCTGGTGATACCTATGAACTCCTTCTCAGAATGTTTTTAAAGGGATAAGATTGCAAAGAAAACAAACTATATTGAGTTATCAAAATTTTTGTTAAAAAATCAAATTTCAAAGTCAAGAAACCCTGGCCGGTCCTATCCCCTTTATATAAAATGGGGAAACTGAGGCCTAGAGGGGACTAGTTTAAGGTGAGTCTCAGTGAATTATTGAGGTTAAGATCCAGTTCTTCTGTCCCAGGCACAAACTGAGCATGATGGTCTGATCTGATACCCCGGGTCCGAAAGCTTTGAGGAAGCAGTAGCAGCGTAGAAAATGGGCTGGATTTGAAAGTTGAGCAACTTGCCAAGGATCACACTGCTAGTAAAATCACAGGCAGGGTGGGAACTCGGGTCTTTCTCACTCCAAGTGACCTACTCTTTCCACTGAACCACTTAACAGTCGCACAAGCTGGGGGGTAATCACACTAATAGCCCACGTATTATCCTGGTAAGCCACGGCTGGGCTGTGGGCATTTTCACGGGCTGTTTCCAATGCCTGCAAATGCTCTGCCTCCTCATCTCCACTTCCTGGCCTCCTTCAAGCCCCAGCCAAAATCGCATCTCCTAGAAGAAGCCTTTCTCAATTCTTGATGCTAGTGCATCCCTCTGGGATCACCTCTCATTTATCCTGGCTATACTTTGTTCGTAGTTGCTTGCACGTTGTCTGCCCCACTAGACTGTGAGCTCCTTGAGGGCAGGGGACTGTCTTTTGCCTTTCTTTATCTCTCCAGTGCTTAGCATGGCCCTGGTATGCAGTAGCCGTTTAATAAATGCCAATTGCCTGACTTCTCCTCTGTGGACCTCAATCTCCTCATCTGTGAAATGAGTTGAATTAAGCCCACTTAAAAGGTCTTTCTCGCGCGTGCGCACACACACCACCTCAGCCCTTGCCCACCTCCGTTCCCTCCCCCACCTTGGGAGGTTGGGACGATTGTGTCCACAACTACATGATCCCGCCTGTGACATAGACGAAATAAAGCGACAGTGAGTACGCCAGGGTCTTCTGCAACGCAGAGGGTAACCATCTCCCGGGGGCACTCCAGCGGCCCTGGGCGCCACCCAGCGCCCCCTACCGCTCTCCTCCCCGAGAGAGCCTTACAGACCACTCACAGAACGAACTAACGACAAAATTCTGCCTCAATCCGCCCAACCCGGAAGGTGGTTCACCATCCAAGCTTCTGATTGGCTCCTTGACGCTCTTTTGCTCCCAAAGGGTTGCCGGGAAATGGAGTTCTCTGGTGGTTGAAGGCGGGAGCGGCGGGGGTAAACGACTCGACTGATCAACCACTTGCTATTGGCCAACGGGAGGTGACGTTCGAAAGAGCCTAACCTATCCAAAGATTCCTCACTTTTCTCGGACAGCAGTTGAAAGGGGAGTGGGATGGGGGAGTTGCTTTGCATGCTGGGAAGCATAGTTTAGCCAAGATCAGCAACCCCGGCCCCGCAACCGCCACAGGCTAGTTGGTAAGAACTACAATTCCCACACAGCCCTTCGCCCGCCTGGTTCCTTCGAGCAGCGCCCCCGCTTCCTCCTAACACTTCCTGGATTCTTAGCCTGCGCGGCTGCCGTCTCTAACGAAGAACTTCATTTCCCAGAGGTCCTCGCGCGCGGCGAGCCCCCCCCCCGGCTCCTCCCCGCCGCCGGGCGCCATTTTGTTCTGCCTACGGCAGGCCTAAGATGGCGGCGGGGGAGAGAGGGTGAAGGTTGCTGGGCTCTAGTCCGCCGATTTTGGCTCGGCTCGGCTCGACTCGGCTCGGCTCGGCCCGGCCCTGCCCCGGCCCCGCGCGGCCGATGGGTGGGGAGTGGCGCGCGCCATGGATCTACGCACGGCCGTGTACAACGCGGCGCGCGATGGCAAACTGCAGCTGCTGCAGAAGCTGCTGAGCGGCCGCAGCCGTGAAGAGCTGGACGAGCTGACCGGCGAGCCGGTGGCCGGGGCGGCTGGCGGCCCGGCCGCCGGAGGCACGCCGCTGCTCATCGCCGCCCGCTACGGCCACCTGGATGTGGTGGAATACCTGGTGGACCGCTGCGGCGCCAGCGTGGAGGCGGGCGGCTCGGTGCACTTCGACGGCGAGACCATCGAGGGCGCGCCGCCGCTGTGGGCCGCCTCGGCTGCCGGGCACCTGGGCGTGGTGCAGAGCCTGCTGCGGCGCGGCGCTTCGGTGAACCGCACCACGCGCACCAACTCCACGCCGCTGCGCGCAGCCTGCTTTGACGGGCACCTGGACGTGGTGCGCTACCTGGTGGGCGAGCACCAGGCCGACCTGGAGGTGGCCAACAGGCACGGGCATACGTGCCTCATGATCTCCTGCTACAAGGGCCACTGCGAGATCGCGCGCTACCTGCTGGAGCAGGGCGCGCAGGTGAACCGGCGCAGCGCCAAGGGTAACACAGCCCTGCACGACTGTGCCGAGTCCGGAAGCCTGGAAATCCTGCAGCTGCTGCTAGGCTGTAAGGCGCGCATGGAGCGGGACGGCTACGGCATGACCCCGCTGCTGGCCGCCAGCGTCACCGGCCACACCAACATCGTGGAGTATCTCATCCAGGAGCAGCCGACCCCCGAGCTCCAAGTCCAGCCGAAGCTGCAGCAGCAGCATGAGGAGGAAGCCACCATGCCCAGCACCAGCCGGGGGGCAGAGGACGCCCAATCACCAGAGCCTTATGAGAGCTGCTGCCCCACTAGCCGAGAAGCCGCTGTGGAGGCTTTGGAGTTACTGGGGGCCACATTCGTGGACAAAAAGAGGGACCTACTGGGCGCCCTCAAGTATTGGAGGAGGGCTATGGAGCTACGGCACCAGGGTGGGGAGTATCTGCCCAAACCCGAGCCTCAGCAGCTAGTCCTGGCCTATGATTATTCCAGGGAAGTGAATACCGCGGAAGAACTGGAAGCCCTCATTACCGACCCTGATGAGATGAGGATGCAGGCTTTGTTGATCCGTGAGCGCATCCTGGGACCCTCCCATCCAGACACTTCCTACTACATTCGCTACAGAGGGGCAGTGTATGCAGACTCGGGCAACTTTGAAAGGTGCATCCACTTGTGGAAGTATGCCCTCGACATGCAACAGAGCAACCTGGAACCGCTGAGCCCCATGACAGCTAGCAGCTTCCTCTCTTTTGCAGAGCTCTTCTCTTATGTGCTGCAGGACCGAACCACCAAGGGTAGCCTGGGTACCCAGATTGGCTTCGCCGACCTCATGGGTGTGCTCAGTAAAGGAGTTCGAGAAGTGGAGAGGGCCCTGCAGCACCCCAAAGACCCTGGTGACTCTTCGCAGTTCACCAAAGCCCTAGCTATCATTCTCCACCTAATCTACCTTTTAGAAAAGGTGGAGTGCACCCCAGAACAAGAACACCTCAAACGGCAGACTGTCTACAGGCTTCTCAAGTGCAGTCCGCGGGGCAAGAACGGCTTCACCCCTTTGCATATGGCTGTGGACAAGGACACAACTGCTGTGGGCCGCTACCCAGTGGGCAAGTTCCCTTCTCTGCACGTGGTGAATGTGTTATTAGAATGTGGGGCCGATCCAGACAGCAGGGACTTTGACAACAACACCCCATTGCACATAGCTGCCCAGAACAACTGCCCCCTGATCATGAGTGCCCTGATGGAGGCTGGTGCCCACATGGATGCAACTAATGCCTTCAAGAAAACCGCCTACGAGCTGCTGGATGAAAAGCTGCTCAGCAAGAGTACCATGCAGCCCTTCAACTACATTACCCTCCAGTGCCTTGCAGCCCGTGCCCTAGACAAGCACAAGGTCCCGTACAAGGGTTTCATCCCCGAAGAACTGGAGGCTTTCATCGAACTGCACTGAAATGGGAGTGGGGTACCCCTCACCATCCCTCCTTGCTCAGTCATCCTCAGCGGAGAGGGAGCTACCAGGGCTTATACCTTATATTTCCCACCTTCCCAGATGGTGTGGGATGGCTTCTGGTAAAATGTGCCTCAGGGGTGGGGTCTAGAGCTTCCATATTCCCCATTGACTTCTCCTTTGAGTGAAAAATATGGAGTTGGTACACCATAAAGGCCTTCAGGGAAGTGCACCAGGAGAGCTGCCTTCCCTCAATCAATTCACTTATTGTTTGAAGGGAGAAAGATGTGCAAGTTCTTTTGTGAGTTCTATCTTTTCCAGTCCTCCCGTGTATAAGGAGGCTTTCATTGGCCTTACCCTAGGGGCAAAGGGATGGAAGCCATTGCCTTCCTAACCTACTGGAATGGGAGAGAGAAGCAGAAGGTGGTGTCCTCCCCCCCTTTCCCCTTGAATGCCCGATGAGCTCGGCTGTCAGAGCTCTTGAGTGGCCACCTCCTGACTGACAGGTCGCAGCAGCACAGTTTTGCAATTCAAGACACAAGGCAATTTCTCTCTTCCAGTTTGTCCCCAACTACTCTGTGTTGTCCCAGTTACCATGGAGTGGGAGTCAGCTGGAGCCCAGTAGAACTGGCCACCACTTAACACAGCTTTCAGTTGGTTTGGTTTTTATTTTTCTGGTGGCCAGGTCACAAGGGTTGTGCAGAAGTCCTAAGATTTTGCTGCTTGTTTGTGAAGCTGGATTTCTGTGCTTCCCCCCACCCCCACTGACAGATCCATTTAGTTTAAAGCAGTATTTGTTTTGCAGTCCCTGGAACAGGCAATGCAGGCCAAAATGGTACGTGAAGACTTGTGTGTTTTTTACATTTAAGATGGAAGTCTGTGGCTTCGGTCCATAAAGCTCTATAGACAGTTCCATTTTTTAAAACCTCATTCTACCCTTTGCACATGGGCCTCCCAGTTTCTCCACTTTCAGTAGGAGAGGCCTTAACTCTTGCTTAGAAACCATGAACCAGCACCATTTCAAGGAGCTGTGCTCAACACGAGTTCTCTGATACAGGAATAGTTGCCAAAGCTTCATTTCCATGTTAAAGCCAGAGAAAGTTTCCTAGTGTGATGGTCTCCATGCCTATTTTGTCATTTAATTGATAGACTCCCATGAGTTGGGGGCTACAGTTGTTTTTAAAGCCATCTTCCAGAGCTAATTCCGCAAGCAAGGTCCCATGTAGGGCAATAGTTTAATAAAGTAAATGCAATTAGAATGTGGATATTGGGGCATCAGTGACAGGCTTTAAACTTGAGTTTGCAGAAAGCTCTGTTTCCCGTAGCCCAGGGTTAAATGCTGGCCAAGAGCAGGTGGTCTTGGAAAATGTGCCATAACGGGTTTTTTTCCTCAGGAGAAATGACTGATTATAGATGCTTTGGCAGGCAGCAAGGAGATTTTTGGCCTGGCCAGAGTGAAAGTCTAGCGGAAAAGGTTAAAAATGGCTGTCCCCCTTCATTTTTGGAGAAAGGTCAGTCTCAGGAGAGTCAAGTTTTGACACTAATCCATTGTACTGCATATGCTAAAAGTTGCCATTAGATTAGTATTTGCAGGCCACCAAAGACCAGAATGCTGATAATCTGATGCCCTGCCCATTTAAGGAAACCAGGTCTGTCATTTAGTTTTGCAGTGTTAAACTATAAATTGATTTATTTATAGGACAGCTTAACTTCTATCAAGGTGGAAAACGCAGTTAATGTTCTCACTGGAATGCAGAATAAACTAAAAAAAAAAGCTTGTTTAATGTGTGAGCCTAAGCTCCTATATTTAAGTAATTAAAAAGAAAAGGCACTAGACTAACTTGCCTGGGAATTCCTTGGTGATTACTGGTTGGTGTGGCAAGGGGGGCTGGTACGGTGTGTGAGTGGGTTGGATAGGGGAGGGGGCCTCTGCCCATTCTAGCTCAGCCTTGGATTCCAGGACTAAGACCCATCCTGGCCTCTGAGGTGGTACATACCATATAATAACTGGACAGGAGGTCTGGTTGTGAAAAGATTTCTTTTGTCCCCTTGGAATTTCTTTGTAGTCCATTGGCTAATGTAGTCTTAAGGCTTTGAAGAACCTCAGAAAGTTATCAGACTTAACCCAACCCTCCCCCCTCCCCCCCCACACACTTTGGGTAAAATTGTCCTGCAGATTAGCACAGGCTCCAACTTTAAAACCACAGGCTGAGGCAAGGTAGGAAAGTTAGCTCTAATCAGAAACAGCTTAGGGAAGTGTTTCTCCGGGCTCCTGAAAGGATGGGCATAATATCTTTGGACTATCGGATTTAACCTACTGGATCTGCAATTCTCCGATGTTGACTTCTGTCCCAAAAGAAAAGGCATCTAGCATGTGTATGGATCTCAGGGGAAGGAACGTCCTTTTGGATGAACTCTAAAGTGAAGCCTGTCTAATAACTATTCCAGGAACACTGTGTCTCTGGAAAGGATGCAAACTGGGGGACAAAATAATCCCTTTCCCCACTTCATGCCTTTTCACCAGCTTAAGTTTCAGCCTTAAACCTGTTGATTTATCCTATTTTTGAATAGATTGATGTGGTAGATTTTTTTAAATTAGTCAACCATTCTGCAAGTTTGACTTCATTCTGAAAATCAGGCCCTAGCCCCACTATAGTCACTAATGTCCACAACCTTTCTCACTGTGATAGAGGCCACAAGATGGTGAGGATACATGGCCCAATACCCAAATATTAAGATGAGGTTCTGCTATAGCACCTAGCACTGAGTGTAACTGAGCCAACACCATTACTGGGTAAATTCCATGCTGCCATATATGTCCTGTTCTGTGAAAGAACTATGCAGTAGTAACCTAGTGTATACCACTTTGACTACAAAAAAAGAAAGAGGTTGCTTATATTAAGATTTCTCCAAACAAAACATTTTTCAGAAGAAAAAAAAAGACCTAATTAACGTAGAATGCTATGCTTCACCAACCTAGTGACTGGTTAACAGCCTTCCTTTGCATGTCTTCCCAACCCCTCAAAGTCCAGATTGGCTTGAGAAAAGGGCAGATATTGGATGGATTTCTTTTTCCCACTCCACGTGCTGTCTCACTGAATTCATGGCATGGATTATCTCAGGAACCCAAGTACTGGGACAAAAAAGACCCTTGAGATTTTGTTGAAGTTCGAGCCCTGAAGGGCTTCACTTGTGTTGTTTTCCTCACCTGTAAAATGAAGATGATACTATCCTACCTCACAGGGATGTTGTGTGGCATTCAAGACTGTAAAGTGCTTTTGACTTAAAAAACAAAACCAAACCTTACTTGATGCTAAGTACTTTTATTTCTCAAGAAGTAACCTTCAAAAAGCTATGTGTACATTTTTTAAGAGTGCATTAGACAAGTATGGATTCTACCATATGCCTGGTGGCATGATGCCAAGGCTGAAGGGGTGGGAATTCTTTAGGATCCCCGAGAAACAGCAGCATGACTCAGTGGATATACTTTTATATTTGTGTTAGTATGAAATTTAAAAAGCATGAAATAGAAACAGTCAGAGACCCATCCGTGCTGCAAAAGTGTTCTGTGAGCTGTTAGAAAGCACAGCAAGTTACCAGACTACAGATTGGGTTACACAGGGAATCAAGTCACGTGTAAAGGGACGTGTCATATCTCTGGCTAATACATGAAGTACTAACAACAGCCCAGAGACAGCCAACACGAGAAAAAATATGACTTGGAAAACTGAAAAACAGTTCCTGAGGAATGTTACTTAAGAGCATGTAAAGTTGAACTGAAATTAACCTTGAGTTATGTGAGACTAGGAAGGAAGCTTTATATTTTGTTCTGCAATACTGTGTCTGTGTGTGTCTGTGTATACTCATCTGTGGTCTTTTTGACTACAAGAAATAATCTAAATCAGTAAGACAAGGTTATCCTTTGTCTCATTCAAATTCAGATTTTAAATTTAAGAAACAGTGCAAGGTAGAGTTTTACAATATAATGGGGAAAAGATAACGTCCACAAGTAACTGAGGTAAAGAGAATGAAAGGAAGGCCCAGGCAGAGAGGTCTATGGGAAATGGGAGAATGGAGCCTCACCTTTAGTTAGAAGGATGAGAATGGTGAGACCTTGAGGGAAGTTTTGGAACCTGAGACCATTTCTGAAGGAAGATGAGAATTTTGAAAGACAAATATAAGAAGTGATTCCAGAAATGAGGTATGGCTTATACCAGTGTGTGGATTATACAGCAGTTCAGCCGTGATAAGAAATGTGGTCCTACTGAAGTTGTCTGGGGTTAACCTGGGTTTATCAATCTTTTCCTCCCAATGATGATCTTTACACATACCAATGGGGGTAAGGAGAAGGGGAGGGAGAGCCCCTCAGATTTTCCCTTCCCCACAATTGACATCCTTTCACATTTTGTTTACATATGATGCTAGTAGTTAAGCAGAAATGTTGGGCATACCGTCTGGATAAGGCAGGCAGGATGATAGCTGTCATCAACCCATCAATAAGGGGACAGCTGTTACCACCTTTCTTCAGTTCTACCACCCTCATGAAAATAACAATTAACAACAAAGAACTTGTAGTTGTTTTGAATTGAGGGAAGTCTATGGAATAAACTATGCTTTCCTCAGTTGACTTGAGTTAGTGAAGAGTGGTTGCCAACAGGTCATGGACTGATAAGGTAGCTATTATGAACAGCCAGTTTTTATCATTCTAAATTGACTCCTCTGGAAAAGGGAAACCACCCCTTTTGATCTAGCAGATGCTTGGAGCCCCTTAATTCTAAAATGACTCTTTCTTGGGAAAGGAACACCATTTCCACTAACCTAGCAGAACTTAGAAGGAAACAGATAGAATATTGTTTTGCTCTCAAGGAAGGAGCTGAGGAGGATGCTTACATCCCAGCAAGAAAACAAATGAAACCAGTGACCTGATTGGGTGAGTAGTCATAGAAGGGGCTTCAATTCAAGGGTCTCCATCTCCTTGTTGACCACAAGAGTAGTGGCCTCCAGCCAAGCGGGAAGCAGGGTCTCTCTTGTCTTCTGGAAGATGAAGTAGTAGGTAACATTGTGGCTACTTCAACTTTTCAGTGGGTGGAGGTACATTGGGCAACTCTTTTGGCAGACAGGAGAGTGACCACTAGTGTTTTTCCTTCATTTTCTCACACCCCGCCTTGGAAATCTGTTTGGCCTCATGTCGAAGTTGGCCCTCCTGACCTAGGACAAGGATGAATTGTTAATCTGTCATTCTCTTTCCAGAAAAAAAATACATCTTTTACTTTTTTAGGATGGTTAAGGATACTCTATTTTCATTATATGAGAGTCTCTTCAACTTCCTAACATTAACTCATCAGTATGCATGTTGTATCCTCCTAATATGAGCTTCTGGAGCAGGGTTGGGGAGCCTGTGGCCTTTTGGGTCCTTGGGTGTGGCCTTTTGGCTAGGTACAGATTTTACAGAATAAATCCTTTTATTAAGTGGATCTGTTCTGTGAAGTTTGGATTCAGTGTTCTCCACCCACCCATTTGAGTACCTGGACTGTGGCCTTGGGGCCAAAGGTTCCCCACTGTTGTTCTAAAGGGGAGAGACCATTGTATTAATTGGGGTATTGGGTTTTTTGTTTTGTATTTATATTCCTGGAGCCTAACAGTTCATTACACATAGAAGGAATTTAGTAGATGTTTGTGAATTTGAATTTAAAAAGCAGTCAGCCA